CCCCAAAACCCCAAAACCCCAAAACCCCGTTTAAGCTAAGTTTATTTATCTTCAAATAAATATCGATAATTAATGATTCATAAGAAAGGATCAATCTTTTGGAAAGAAGCACAAATTTCTACACATAATGAATTCACTCATCATTTTTTACGATTTCCTCTTATAGAAAAACATGAGAAGCAACTAGGTACTTACGAAGACCCCATTGGAGATTACAATGGGTGATCTCTAATAAGTTCATTTGGATCAATATCAAGTCTTCTCAGAGACATCCCTTGCATATCTTGTTTCATAATTCCTTTTACTTTATCAGTCTGTTAGGTACTATTATTTTCTTCAAGTCCCCAATCAGATTCATCAGACTAATCTAAATCATCTTTATCTTGATTCAGTTCTTAAGTGATAGTCCTTCTTCCATCTGTAGATTTCGTTCTTGAGTCAGAGTAATCATTGTTGCTAACTTCAGACTACCTTGTTACATTGATATCTTTGCCGAAGTCAAAATCTTCTTTAAAAAAGGACTTTGACATAGCCCTCTTTATAGCTTTTTATTAAATTTTCTTACAAATATTTGAAGCATAAACGGCATCTTCCTAACCAAAGGCAGCTTAGAAAAGGTCGATTGCGTTAGGATTTAATTTATTCATTAAATCAATGGTTTCTGGTAATTACTTAACAAAGTTCTCCTCCTCTTATTTAAAGATCACAGAAGATTCTTACTCCTGCTTTTGATTCTTTTAATCTTTTTACTGTTTTTTAAGTCCTGATTTAGCTTAAGAATTAATGGAGGATTCTACACTCTTCCATTTATTTTTCTTTTATAAGTATTCCTAAAGTTTTTTCTCAATGATTTGATGGACCTAGTTCTCATATATCTCTAATAGCTAATCATAGTCCTTATACAAGCTTTTGCCAGTAATCTTTTGGTATATTTTGAGTTTTTCATATCTATTGATGTTTAAGTAATCATTGTCTTAATCTCTCACTTGTTTTAAACTATTAACCCATTTTAAGGCCTCTTATTCATGATCACATTGCATTCTATAGCATTTTTTCTTGAATAATATATAGAATTCCTTAGGATCATTCTTATTAATTTCAACTGCTTTAGATATCTTTATATCAATCTGATTTTCAGCTTATCTTGCTCTTTCATGCGAATACCAATAAAGAGTTCCATTTTTAATAGCAAAAAACTATTTCTTCTATTTGATTTAAATCGTCTCAGTGAACAGTTTTAGACCCATTTTAAGACTATTACCTATTCCAGATATCATAAATCCTAAAATATCCTCCTCACCTTCTTTTTCCATCTTTATACTAGATTTGGTTAACCATCCAGTCATTCTATCATCTGGATCAATATTGTAAGGCTTGTCTTACTCCTCTTTTTTTTCTTCTTGCTCAGCTAAATCCTTCTATTTTTACTCTTCGCCATCAATTTAGTCGAGATCTATACCACCTTGCTTAAGAAAGTCCTCAAGATCAATATCTGGTGCATCATTAGCATTATCATTTTAATTCATATTAGGATCATTAGAGTCAATATAGTTATTTTCTTTATCTACAATCATTTCAGCTTGAGAAATATCTAAATTAGAGAAAATGCCTCTTTTGTTTGGATTATCATAGTCTGTGTTCTTAAAAGCTGCCAAGATCTCTTCACATATTTTGATTGCTTGTATTCTCTCATCCTTCACCAAATCTGTCCTAAGGTTCAAAATTGCTTTCTATAGATAAAAATATTTATAAAAATTTAACTTACTACGGTACTAATATTGAAAGTTGGGCCATGAGTTTTCCTTAGCTTTTCACAAGCCACCGAGATAAAAGCAGGACTACTTTCGAAAAAACTAACTAAATCATCCAATACTTCTATCCCACTTTTCATTGATCTTGTTGTCATAAATTCTCCGAATCTTCTCTCGATTTTTTCATAATCTTCCTTGATCTTGGCGATTGCTTCTTCAGAACTTTTTTGTCTAATCTTCTTTGATGAATTTAGCATGCATTAAATATAACAAAGCACTGTTCTTTCCAAAAAGCATGCCCATGCTTGTCTTGATGTAGAACGAGACATCTTGCTGGAATAATCTTCGAAAAATCTAAATGACTCATTCAAGATAACTTCCATATCTTAATCCAAAAAGTTTTTTGTGTACAAAAGATCTAGTCTTATTTTAAAAATAGCATTGGTCATCTGATTGAGAAGGACTGACTAAATCTTTAAGAATACTGATTAGATCTAACGCTAGCTGAAATGTGATTCGATTTCATCATCTGTGCATGTGTCGCTTACTTGTTGAAGTAAATCTTCCATCAATTCAAAATAGATAAAGCAGTTATTACATTAGGCTATCAAAAAGTCATGCTAAAGCTTTTGATCAGACTAAATAGCAGATAAAATAAAATTAATGATACCTCTAGTATTCTTGAAAGCGCTTTTTGATATTATTAGGTAATAACTTGAAACATCTTTAGAGTTTTCAAAATGAGCTCTTTAATTTTCTTAACTACCACAATTTAAAAGCTCTCACTAAAAATTTTAACAATATCATAGGGAGCATTTGTATAAAGAAACCCTGATCTGTCCTCCTCTATTTGTTTATTTTCTTTTTCCTTTAAAAATTCATGAAATTAAGATTACAGTTTTTAATATATTGATAACAAGAGGCATTATTTGACCATGAGTTTTCTTTGCATAAGATGTGCATAGTTATAGATAACCATTTTCAACAGCATCATCAACGACTCCAAATTTCTTGAGATCTCTATTATACCTGTAAGTCCAATCAACAAGGGAAAGAGTCTCGTAAGGCTATAATCAAATTGAGTTAATCAAATCTAATACATTAAGCTCAACTGCTTATTGCTCCCAGAATTTAGATAGAACCTCTGAAATATGTGTATGAGCTACTTTCATATAAAGTTCAATAATATCCTTCCTCTAAGGTTTAATAGCCAAGCAGGCATCAAATGTCTAGAAGTTAAGAATATTTATAATTTACAGTTATCATATCATCACTGAGATCAGTGCAAGTGGAGAGTAAAGATTCTACATCTTCCCAATCTTTCTTAGTCTTTGGTATTTTCTTATCATACATATCCTCTATTTGTTATCTTAAAATATCTTCATTGGTATCAAATAGCGTCACAATTTGAGATATATTTTTGCATGCTCCTGTTATCGATAGCTATCGTTCTTTAGCAGTCTGCATTGATATTTCAACTGCTTCTACCCATCTTTCTAGCTCAAATCTATGCTCAGTATTTAAATGAAATAGCTTCTTTCCTGTATCTATAATAAATGCATGACCCTCTTCCTTAGATTTGTTCATGTTTTTAATTTCAACTTTCAATATATTGATAGTTTTAATATCTCCTGCTGGTCCAGAAGCATCATCTAGGGTATCCATTCTAAAGTAGTATATAACATCGAATTCAAGTAATGGTGGTAATACACTCTCACTTAGTATTTCAGTGTCATTCAAAAACTTCTCTTAGTTCTAAAATGTTTTGCTAACTATTAAATCTTACTAAAGGTCGACTAGAAATGAGAAAAAACCAGCGACTTGAGAAGTACTTTATCTTTCCCTTGCTTCTTTTCTTAAGGAATCCATATTAAATTCTACTCTTGAGAGTCTTTTCCTTTACTGTCTTCAAATAATTCCAAATACCTTTTGTTATCAAGGCCTTTTCGCTCAACTGTGTTTAATCTTTATTCAAGACTAATTAAGGATCTATAGTAATTAGAATTTAGAACCAAATATTAGCAGATCAGATTAGTTACTTTGAATTGCAACTGATGCAAATGCTTTTGCATCAATATTTGTAAACTTATGTGCCTTAGTCCTAGTTCTACTTTTGCTTTTTCGTTTTTCTTCTTATTACTCACCTCCCTCTTTTGTAGATACCTGCTCTTATAGTTAGAGATTATTTTAAAGGGAGCTAAAGTATGATAGAGATCTCGAGGATGTAGCAGTTTCTTATTCTCTTGACTTCTGATCTGCTAAAAATTTCAAGCAAGTTACCCATGACCCTGCTTCCTCCTTAGTTTTTGTGAACATTTCAAAATTTCTATCATTGAAGTCAAAATAAAAGCTATATATATTTTATCTTATAAAAGTTTACTATTTCTAGTCCTTAATCTAGATATTTGTTAGTTTTCCAATCTCAAAGACTCCATTAGGTTTAAGATCAAATTACTTGGACTAAAATAAACAATTATTATGTTTATATTTCTTACAGTTGGTTTCTGATTATAATAGGCTAGATATGAGCCGTTAGAAATAACTTTAAAGTATCTGTATAGCATAATAAGTTAAGTAAAGAGTTGTAATAATGTTTAAATTGTACCTTTTTTGATATCCAACTAATAATTTATGAGATTTTTTCCACACTTTCCCTTCTCTTTATATAGCCTAAAAATTAAGATTAATGCTCTAGAGCGTTACTTGTTCATATAATTCTCTCTCTTCTCTTTTTAAAGGGAGAACGCCATCAGTAAGCGTTCTGTACTATTCCAGTACTGACTTGTTTATAATCTAGAGTTACTTGGAATTATTCCTATTATCCATTAAACTGATTATTATAAGATTAATCAATTAAGAATATTTGAGTAAGAAATTAATAAGTTAGTTAATTATTTAGTCATTGCCAATTCAAAGTGTTTTTGATTATTCTAGTAAACTCTCCTTGGAAATTGATTACTATTTAAGTTCATCTAGCTATTTCTTGACATAGTTCGACTAGATCTCATTAATAGTAGTTAGACCCTCAAATTTCTCTTTGATACAAGACTCAAAATAAGTTGAAAGCATCCCGTCATAATAATTGGGATATGGATTTTCAAATTAGACTTTAAAGAATATATCTCTTGACTTCTCATCTAACTTAGAGAATATTTTAAAGACTTGCAAGGCCTACTCGAAGTTGTTTAGTCTAACTGATATTTTATAGTTGTCTCTAACAATCATTTTACTCAAATCAAAGTCATTTCCAAGACCCTTAAGCTTCCCAACTACAAGTATATCCTCCTAGAAACCACTCATAATCATATATTAATTTAGTAAACTACAGCACTCACCAAGAGATTTACCCTCGAAAGACTAGCTCTCAATTGCAATAGTATTGCAAAAGTCTGCATCTAAAAATTCAATGTGTCTCTATTCTCAAGTATAATCAATTAAATCAATCTTACCTCCTAGTTATATAATTTGAGACCGAAAAGGAACATAGCAGTGTTAATGAATTTCAGCTTATCATGATAATTAGAGAAGACAATAAATCCCTATCTCATAACTGGCTTGTTCAATCCCAATTTCTCCTTTTCATGTAAATTTAACCTATCCTCACTCAGCTTCCTCGCAGCTTAATTTGAAGTTTTGTTCACATTCTTGTTCTTTTAAGATTTTTTAGATTTTAATTTTTCATCTTCCATTGATTCTGCATTTAAGAATTCTTGTGTTGCAATGCTAATTAAGTCTTCGAATTTCACGGTCTCTTCATTTAATTGTACAGATGACCCCTAAGCTTTTCTTTATTTTGACTTATTTCCACTTATTTGATATTCGAATTGCTCAAGCTCATCCACTTTTGATGGCATTGTACTTTATTTGAAGCTATTTGCAATATTAGCCTAGTGATAGTTTATGTAAAAAAAATTCTTCAGTTAGCCAGATCTTTTTTCAACATGCCCAAGCAATTCCTCTGAAGCGAATTCATTTAAAAGAATTTAGTAAATATCTTCTTTATTTTTAGCCTAATAAATATCGTTGTAGGTGATCATCTTGATTTCTTTTTGATTGCCTTAGTATTTTTCCAGTATCAGTGGAAGATTTTTGAAGAAAATATGATTGGTCTTTTTAAAGCCAGATTTACTATCGAAATTTTCCTACAATAAGATGTAGTAATCAATTGGCAAGAACTGCATAAACTACCTCAACTATTTATTTTATGAATTAATAAGTATTATTAAAGCTTACATTTTTGAAGTTTGATTCTGGTTTAAGAATAATACTCTCATGAGAACTAAAGAAAGAAAAATAATCTTCTCCTTACTGCTTTTATGTATGCTAATTTTTTTATTAGTCTATTTCACCTCCTACTCCTTTTTACTTGCTTATTTCAATAGCTTATTCCTCATCGCTTGATGTTAAAGTATTGGTTAATGATGTCTTATACTTATCAAATATAAATCTTGGTTTAGGAATGACTTCATTTGCAAATTATCTTATTTCATCCATTCTTAAATTCTATTCAAATTTCGAGTCAATGGCGTTTTTCTGATAGATATTTAAAAGTGTCTTAGAATCGAGCTAATCCAAATTAATGAGGCTCATTTTTTTCACTATGATATCGTTCAATGACTCTGAATGTGTTATATTTTTCATCTTGTCAAGGAATATCAAGAAAGAATCTGGACTAAGTTTATGGTTAGGCTACTCTAATACATTTGTTTTCAATTCACCAAGATATTTGACGAAAAGAGTAAATGACTTTCCATCTAGACTCTTTGATAAGCTGAGAATAAACTCTTCTGTAGCAGAATTAATTCTAAAATGGAAAATTAAAGATTAGTTTAATTTAATAAAGTAAATTACTTATTGCTTGAAACTTTTTTGTAGTTTTTAAATAGCCCTAGAGCACTTTCCTTAATTAGCTTATTGAACTTTTCCTTTTCATTGCTATTAATTGTGTCATTGGAACTGCTCTTGATTACTAGACTTATCTTTGGATCAGCTTTATATGGAGAGGAAAGTTAATTCTTTTTGTTTACACTGAGAGTTTTTACGTTTCCTTACTATTAATTATCATTAAGGACTATATAAAATGAATAATAATCTCTATAAATTACTCTTTTAAGGGAGACTTGTTCCTTATCTATTATACACTTTATACTCTGTATTTGAATTCTTATTATCAGAAGAAAAGTTTCTCAGATAAGCCTAGAGTAAAGTACTTTATCTCTATTTGAGACTCAGTTTTTACTATTATAATGCGAGCAAAGTTATGGCTTTCATTAATCAAATATTTAGTAATTAATAATATATTATCAATTTATTTACTTCACACATTCTCGTGGGGTTTTGGGGTTTTGGGG